AGCCTTCTAGCTTTTCTGGTTCTCGAGTTGAAAGTGGGTGACAAAAAGTGCGAACACACACACACATATACACACACACACAAACACACAAGCACACACACAGTTTCTTCCCGATATGCGTTTTTACAATTTGCATATTATGCAAAAACGCATAAAAAACGACACTAATCATTCAGTGATGCGAAGAGTTCTTTGCGCCTAAATTGAGCGATGATAGCTGAAACATTGTACTTATCTAGTAAAAAAGTTTACTACCGAATATAAAGCTGAATATCAAGAAGGAATTCACAGACTGTCTGTCTTGAAAAATCTCATGTCCTTTTCTTCTCATTCCTGTCTTTTACACCGTCTTCCTGTTCACGTCATAGTACTTGCAAAATTTGAAAATAACGCTTCGCAGCAGCAAGCATAGCGCCTTAATACTTTAGATGAGTCTTCAGACGCAGAATGATTGTTCAGAAAATGATTTCGAGAACCAGATAAGTTAAAAAGCTGAAATTTTGCGAGAACGTTCTTTGTAATGTACGCTACTCAAAGAATTTAAATTCAACTTTCATTTACGTCTCGCATATGAACACGGCAACTTTCCATCTTGCAAAATTGTCGGCATCCTCCGCTTATGGTAGTTAAACATGCGAGAAAATCGAAATTTCACTGTGTTCTACGGTGCAACACCACCGGCTCACTAGTTGCTCTTTTCCCGGGCGTGGAGGGAATGAAAAAAAAGAATTACCAAAATTAGTGCGTATATCAAATCAAGAAGCAGTGAATGTCTTGCTTGTAAACGACCTTACAGTAGATAGAGCAGAAAGCAAGCTCTCACCGTTAACTTTGTGCGCGCCGCCAACCATCATCAATTTGTTGATAGCATAGGCACAAAAAAACCGGCTTCGTTTCAAAAAGTGAAACCTGTGGCTAATACTTTCAAAAAATTGCTTGAAACTTACGAGGTTTATGGCTGTGCCCATAACATAAATATTGCCCACTCGTCCGGACTTCCATTTCACATCTGTAATTACATTTTGATTTTTAAATTTCATACAAGTTTAACAAGCAAACAGTGCTAGTCAATTCCGAGAAGAGGGAGGGATCAGGCATAACTTTGTGTAAAAACGATCGGAACTGAGTTTTTTAGAAAAGATTAAGCGCAGCTATATTCAGACAGAAGCAGAAATGATCAATCTGAACTTCCTTCATCTTGTCATCACTTAACATTTACCGCTTTTAAAAGTGTAGTAAGCGACAAAAGAAATTATTGTTGCATGTACTAAGCCAGTGAACATCCATATGAAATAGATCTGAAAATGTATTTTCATGTCACCAATCAGGAAAATGAGATTCTCCTGGACAATTTCTCGGCTGTGAGACCGAGAGAGCCCTGTCTTTTCTCGTGATCACTGCATCTTTTCTTTATCGCAGTGGTTTTTGTACGAAGAAAATCGGTAAAGAGAACAAAAAACCGGATTTCGAGAAAACATACCTTTAAGGAAAAGCCTTCGCTACTCTGAGACAAATGATAAAGCGCCGGATAGTTGATCATTAGGTCGAACGGCAGCAAACGATCCCAAATGCCCATGGCAAGCGGTGGCCAACTGGTGAAAAATATATTGAACATCACTACTGACCAGGCGTCCAGTATAGATGTGTCCGCAAAAAGTGTATTGAATTCATACAGAAACTGCAAATTTTCATTTAGGATTTCACTGCCTACCTCATTTAAAATGTACTTCCTGGGAATATTTATAGGTACTGTTGACTGCGACCTGCTTTAGCGCTTTTTCACAGCTAAAAGCCCTGACTGCGTCGTCTTGCCATAATAGGTCTGATGACAAACGAGCCAAATTTTCTAATTTGATTTCACTACTAAAATTAGAAAGACTGATTTTCCAGCATGGCTTCGAACTAAAAATCAAAATGTGCGAGCATCTCAGTTTTTTTGCCCAACTTTGTCACCATAATCGTTTCATACAAAATGTTACAGTTAATATGTCAATGTGTGTAGAAAGACAGAACAATCAATTCAGCGACCCCTTCCCTTATAAGTTATTTCAGAAGAGTGGTTATAAGTTATTTCAGAAGAATCTGTAATGCATTTTGGGCTAGTGCGAATACAGTGTCGTTTGCGGAAATGGGCATTCGAAGCAGTCTTCATCGTTGATAGAAATTCTATTTGTTGCCCGCAAGACGCTTTCGCATACTCTCTAAGTTTGAAGGCGGAAAATATTGCCTTACGCTTCATTGTTTTTATTTCGGAAACCTTTTTAAAATCTGCGACTAGTAAGCATAGTGGATCTTGCATTTTCTATTTCTTACCACTTGCGGTAGTGAAAATGTGCTCGCTAAAGCCCTAAACTTGCACGTGTTTTCAAGTTTTTGTTGAAGATCAATTCAGTTTGAGGCAGATTATGTGCATAAAAATCTTGTAAATAAGGCATATTTTTCAGTAACTGCAAATGTCTTCGCACTCTCGTTTCTTTTTATCAGCACTGTTCTGAACCTCATACACTTTAACCACTTCTCCCTTAGTTCGGAGTACCAGAAAAGCCTTGAGCAAGATGCCTGTCTTTTTGGCCCTTACTTGGATTTTTTCCTGCGGTTAGTATGTAATTCTGTCACGAAAGCTCACTGTATGTGCTGCATTTTCTACTTCAGTTTCTAAGGTAAAATGAAGAATGCACGCTGTCGCAGTGGATGAAACCAAGCCTTTACAAAAAAGTGGTAGTGGAAGGGAGAATACGTTGAAGAAACTAGCTCATTCTCCTATCACTAACTGTTGATCCCGATTCACCTCTCTCCTCCCAGTCCACCTTCCTCCACCACTCCCTATTATCATTGTGTAACTTTACAAATTAGTCCTCAAACTTTTACTGGAGGAAAAATAATAAAAAAACCTTGAAGAGCCCCTACAACCATATTAAACTGGAGACGCACTGGCTGTAAACCTTACTGCCGGTCCAAATATGGCAGTGCATCTGAATTGTTACCCTCAGTTTCTCCCTTCATTTCCTCACCCGCCCCCTCCCTTTGGGTGCACTTTTGAAATTACCATTGCAACAGCAAGAACGATATTCTTGTAGAAGAAATATAAGATTGTCTTTGTAACACGGTGATAATTGATTGCTCCATGAACGAACACCAGGCGCTGCAGGTATCGGAACTGAAAAACAAACTTAACTGACTAAGATTGCGTTGATTTCTAAAAGTAACTGGCGTAAAACTGAAGTTAATTGTTTAGGAGTGGGACACATTCAGACATCTCCTTTTTCTTCTCATAGATCTCATCCACCAGAATGACTCTTACCTGAGCAATGGAGTAATCAGCTGCAAGAGATGCTTGCATGCCTTCTTCACCACTTATTCCAACACCAATGTCTGCTGCCTGTAGAAAAAAAATTTTTTAACTGGTCTGCTTATTCTGGAAAAGAATATGAATCAAAAGATAACAAGATATCAATTGCCTTAGAAGGAATGTACCTGAATCATAGCGACATCGTTGGCGCCATCTCCGATTGCTAGGACAGTTCCGTCAGACCAGCTCTGTATCAGCTTCACTACAGCTGCTTTTTGCATCGGTGAGCAGCGACAACATATTACCGCTGAACATAGTGACGCGAGGTGCAGAAACCTCATCTGCAGATCTTTCTGGAGTGCATGCTCGAGACTCTATAACAGCATTCTCTTTCACATAGTGGCGAGAACTACCTCAAACGGATGGGAGGCGGAAAGCGTGGAGGTGCAACGTACAGATCGATAAACGTAAGTAAAGTAGACTTATCTCGCACAGTTTTTTATGTTTTTTCGCATACACGCAAATTGCAAAAATGCATATTGGGAAGAGGCTGTGTGTGTCTGTGTGTTCACACTTTTTGTCACCCATTTTTAACTCGAGAACCAGAAAAGCCAGAAGGCTGAAACTTTGAGAGTATGTGCCCGTACCATGTGCGACCCTCTCGTTTAATTTCATCCCCCGCGGACGCTTGGGTGCCGCGTATAGGCGCTTTAAAAAAATATGCAAATTTTTTGGCGGGAAAGCGATCTCGGGAACCAGACAAGGTAAG